GATGCTGTTTTGAAGCCTCCTGGGGGGCCGTTTTGGGGCCTCTTAGGGCCTCGTTTGGTCTTCTTGGGGGCCTCATGGGGCTTCCTGGGTGTTTCTCGAGGCCTCCCGGGACCTTCTTAAGGCGGAATGCCCCAGCAGCCCGCAGGATGGATCCGTTGGAAGCGTGTCACTGGTGCTGCGCGGTCCGGGTGGCTTCACAATCCTTTGTGTTTAACGTATGTGCCTATAGATTGGTCGTCTTCTGGGGCTTCCTGGGGCCTCCTGGGGCTTCCTGAGGCCTCCTGGAGCTTCCTGCGGCTTTCTGGGGCTTCCTGGAGTCTCCTGGAGCCTCCTGAGGCCTTCCGGGGCTCCCCGGGGCTTCCTGGGACCTCCTGGTGCCTTCTGGGGCTGTCTTGGCCCCTCCCGGTGCCTCCTGGAGCTGTCTTGGCCTTCTCTTGGGGCGCGAATCCTTTGTGTTAAACGTATGTGCCAATAGATTGGCCTTTTCTTGGGGCACGAATCCATTGTGTTTCACGTATGTGCCTATAGATTGGCTTACTCTTTGGGCGCGAATGTTTAGTGTCTTACGTGCGTGCTTTTATACATGCATACATATATATACACACATACATATAGATATATATATATATATAGATGTGTATGTATGTATGTATGTATGTATGTATGCATGCATGCATGCATGCATGTATGTATGTATGTATGTATGTATGTATGTATGTATGTATGTATGTATGTATATATACACATGTATCTATATATAATGTATATATATACACATATATAGATGTGTGTGTTGGCCGTATCATGGAGCGCGAATCCTTAGCGTGTTACGTGATTCCTAGAGATTTGCCTTTTCGGGTAGCGCGAAACCTTTGTGTTTTACACATGTGCGTATAGGTTGGCCCTCTCCTGGGGCACGAGTCCTTTGTGTGTTCACGCGTATGCCTATAGATTGGCCCTTTCCAGGGGCACGAATCTTTTGTGTTTTACATATGTGCTTACAGATTTGCCCTCCCCTGGGGCACGAACCCTGCGTGTTTTACGTATGCGCTTATGGATTTGCCCTCTCCTGGGGCACGACCCCTCGTGCTTTACGTATGTGCCTATAGCTTCGCCCTCTCCTGGAGCACGAATCCATCGTGTCTTACATGTGTGCATATAGATTGGCCTTCCCCTGGGGCACGAATCTTTTTGTGCTTAACGTATGTGCCAACAGATCAGCCTTCCCTTGGAACACGAATCCTCTTAGTGTTTTACGTATGTGCCTATAGATTGACCCTCTCCTAGGGCTCGAATCTTCCGTGCTTCACGTGCGTACTGATAGAGTGGCCGTATCATGGGAGACGAATTCTTAGTGTGATTGGCCCTCTCCTGGGGCACGATCCCTTTCCAGGGGCACGAATCTTTCGCGTGTTACGTATTCGCTTATAGATGTGCCTTCCCCTGGGGCACGAACCCTGCGAGGCGTCACGAGCTTCATTGGCCGTCAGGGGAATAGAGGCTTCAGGCCGAAGAGGAGCTTCACGAGCTTCAACGGGCGCCACGGGAATAGAGGCTTCAGGCCGACTAGAGGCTTCACGAGCTTCAACGGGCGCCACGGGAATAGAGGCTTCAGGCCGAATAGAGGCTTCACGAGCTTCACCGGGCGTCAAAGGAATAGAGGCTTCAGGCCGAATAGAGGCTTCACGAGCTTCACCAGGCGCCAGGGGAATAGAGGCTTCAGGCCGAATAGAGGCTTCACGAACTTCACCGGGCGTCAGGGGAATAGAGGCTTCAGGCCGAATTGTGGCTTCACGAGCTTCAATGGGCGCCAGGAGAGTAGAGGTTTCAGGCCGAATAGAGGCTTCACGAGCTTCATTGGGCGTCAGGGGAATAGAGGCTTCAGGCCGAATACAGGCTTCACGAGCTTCAACGGGTGCCACGGGAATGGACGCTTCAGGCCGAATAGAGGCTTCACGAGCTTCAATGGGCGTCAGGGGAATAGAGGCTTCAGGCCGACTAGAGGCTTCACGAGCTTCAGTGGGCGTCAGGGGAATAGAGGCTTCAGGCCGAAGAGGAGCTTCACGAGCTTCACCGGGCGTCAGGGGAATAGAGGCTTCAGGCCGACTAGAGGCTTCACGAGCTTCACCGGGCGTCAGGGGAGTAGAGGCTTCAGGCCGAATAGAGGCTTCACGAGCTTCACCGGGCGTCAACGGAATAGAGGCTTCAGGCCGAATAGAGGCTTCACGAGCTTCACCAGGCGCCAGGGGAATAGAGGCTTCAGGCCGAATAGAGGTTTCACGAACTTCACCGGGCGTCAGGGGAATAGAGGCTTCAGGCCGAATTGTGGCTTCACGAGCTTCAATGGGCGCCAGGAGAATAGAGGTTTCAGGCCGAATAGAGGCTTCACGAGCTTCATTGGGCGTCAGGGGAATAGAGGCTTCAGGCCGAATACAGGCTTCACGAGCTTCAACGGGCGCCACGGGAATGGACGCTTCAGGCCGAATAGAGGCTTCACGAGCTTCAATGCGCGTCAGGGGAATAGAGGCTTCAGGCCGAATAGGCGCGTCTAGGGTCGCCACCCCACCAGTGCGTCGCAATTCGTAGGCCGAATAGAGGCGTCACGCTCCGAATACAAGATTCAGGCCGAAAGGAGGCTTCAGGCCGAATAGAGGCTTCACGAGCTTCAATGGGCGTCAACGGAAAAGAGGCTTCAGGCCGAATAGAAGCGTCACGATCTCCACCGGGCGTCATCGGAATAGATGCGTCACCGCAGCTCCTTGAGGGAATAGCGTCTTCAAATAGTGTCTTCGGAGCCGGCTCGAACGGGCAACCCCCCGGGCCAGGCCTTTGTGTATATAAATGTGTGTACATATCGAGGCTGCTTTCCCTCATCCAGGTGATTTCTGGTCTCGCCTTCGCAGAGAAGGCGGAGTTTGTGCGTCTTGGGCCGACGATCCAGAGAGGGGGGGGGCATCTGCGCATCGGGGGGCATCTTCATGGACTGCAGATGCAAGCGCAACATTATTAAAGAGCTATTTCGAACAAGCTGGGGGCTCACAGCCCGCTCTGAATCTGGGGGGGCTATGTTCGGATTATGGGTATATCTGGGCCCCCCTCCCCCAAGCCAGCCAAGCGGGGGAGTTCGGGGCCCTGGGGGCCGCCTCTCAGCGTATCTCGGGGACGTCTAGGGGGCGCTCCGATTGTCTGAATGCGGTCAGGGCCAAAGAGCCCCCCAGGGCTCAGCAGCTCTCCTACAAGCGCCCCAATGCAGTCACGATGTTTTCGGCCCTCTCTGCACCGTAGGCCGGTTTCAAGAAGGCGAAGGCTCACGCGCGGGAGGGCGACGCTCACTCTTCCAGGGCGGTTTTTCCAGACAGGCAACGATGCGGCCGGTGCGGCGGCCAAGCTTGGTCTCAGGTTGCACCCCAAGCCAACCGATCACGAGCGCGAGGTTCTGATTTGGCAGGTGCGAGTTTGCAAGGCTGTGATCAAGCCCAGAGCACGGCTCCTCCCAGCGTGGCTTCGGCTTGACCTTTCAGGGGTTGAACTAATTAAGGCCCCGAAGGGGGGCCAGAATATTTGCCCCCACGGTCGATCACGCTTGGTCCCGGTGCAAAACTTATTGGAAATGCGACACACGTTTGCGCTTCAGACGCCAAGACAGCCGCCCCTCGCCGCCAGGGTGCTCTGGGGAGGTTCCTTAGGCGTTTTCAGGGGAGAAAGAGCGCGGACATACGCTTCTCGCCTTTGACTGCTCCGACGAGAGTCCTCTGTTCGTTCGTACCGCGTGCAAGGCCTACACTACGCTGGGCCGTCTCAAGATCCTGGGCGAACCTTGCTTGGGGACCGCGGGAGCCACGAGGAGTAATGAGAACAGATGGGCTCTCGTCTTGAAAGGCCGTCACCCGAAGCACAAAGGTGTTTCGTTGGCGGCAGATATCCTTGCTTTCGAGTGATCTTGATGGCAGGGGACTGGTCATGTTAAAAAATCCGTCCTCGCCCGCCGCAGTTTCCCCCGCCGCCGCCGCCGTCGTCGTCTGCGTCCTTGTCGCCGTCGGCAATTATTGCGCGTTCCCTGGACTTTCGCGAAGTCTTCGGGCCATCCGCCACGCCTCGTGCTGAGCTGTCCGGGGAGCCCATGGAGACTTGGACGGGGGCTCGGGAAGCGCAAGGCACCGTGTCGAAAGGAAGGGGGGGGGCCTTACGCTGTTACAGTACCACTACCAGACGGCACTTGGCATTTGAAGGCGCCCACATCGGGCTAGGTTTCGTAGGAATTGGAGACGGGATTCCGGACAGATTCTCTCGTTTCGTACACGTACACGATGCCATGTTTTGCGACGCTACGTTTTATGATGCAATGGTACACTACGCGATGCCAAGCCATGCTATGACATGCTCTGCGCAGCCGAGCTCTTCTACACCATGCTACGCCGCGCTTTACCATGCATCGCAAACCTTCTTGGCATCATCACCTTGCTCGACATCAGCCTGTGTGCATAAAGAGGAGATCTGCGCCATGGTAAGGGCTGGGATGAAGGGGTATGACGACAGGTATGACGCGAGCGCATCTAGCTTGCCCTCCCCCCCCTTTCCTCCTCCACCTCCTCCACCCCGGTGGATCAGTGATGCGGACTTGCCTGTTCACTGGGAACTGGAGCCCTCGCCCCCGCCCGCACTTCCACGTCCTCCTCCTCGTCCCTTCTCCTTTCCCCCTCGTCCTCCTCGCAACTCTCTCTCTCTCTCTCTCTCCTTCCCTCCTCCCCCTCGCAGAGATCCGAGGCTCTGGAAAAATTGAACTGGCCGGTTTTTGGCAGTTTTCGGCCTCCGCGTGCCCTCAGCAGGCTCTGGGATCATCAGAAAATCGCTCAGGATGGAAAACCGGCCTTAGGGAAGTGGTCCAGACCTCTTCTTGAATCCTCCCATCGAAAAAATGGGAGCGCCGAATATCCATGTGTGTCCTCTCGTACTTTACTAATAATGTTCCTCACATGTTCACAGAAGTCCCCCTTGCCTGAAGGAGCTTAAGAAGCTCGGCAAGATGTTCGTGCCCGCGGTGGGGCCCGGGTACTCTGCGGTAACAGACAGGGTGCGAGCGTGCAGTGCAGGAAGCGAGTTCCGCGAATGTCGACCAGAAACACAAAATACCCGTTCATTTTCGCAAGAGTAATGGGCCTCAGGTGTATAGCTGCGACCGGACGGATTCGTCACAGGTATGTGTGCGCAGTGCGATTTCGAGTGCATCTTTCGACCGATTACCAGAGGGGGGATCTTTTCTTGTCCAGCGGCGCAAAGGGGACCAACAAGATGGCTCTGTTTGATTGGCACCAGGAACCATGATACCCAAGAGATCCATGGCTCCGAAAAAATGGAGCGGCAGTTTGGGGGCCATTTTCGGCCTCCGGGTGCCCCCAACGGGCCCCGGGACCGTCAAAGAACAATTGAGGACGAAAAACCGTCCTTAGGGAAGCGGTCCAGACCAGACCTCCGCGGGTCTTCGCATCCTCCAAATTGGAGCGCCGGATGTCTGGCTTGTCCAACCAATGTTCCGAGGCAGCGCTCCGCCTCTTACCCCGCAAGCAGAACGTCCCGATGTTGCGTTTGGTGCAGATTGTTCTTCGCCTGCGATTCGGGGATGGAACCTCGAGACGCGCTTGAAAAGAGCGACCGACAGCAGGATGGAGCCTGTTCCCCAAAGCTTGCATCTGCACCCGGGCGCTTCCTAGCTTCACGGGGTCCATCCGCTGAGCTCCCGGGGCCCACAACAGCCTTCCAGGCGCCGACACTCCACTCCGACTCTTCCCGACTGGTGTCCAGAAGCTCGATGCCCGTACGCTGCGCATTGAGCCCCTCAGGTACGACGACACCCGCATCCGGCCTTGGAACGCGCACAACGTGCGCGAACGGCGGGGGGGCGCGTATTACGACAGCATGTGGGCCAAGGCGCTGGCCGCTGGCCCTGCGGCCGTCTCGGTGACCTCCTACAACGAGTGGGGCGAGGGTACGCAGATCGAGCCCGCGAGGCTCGTGGGGAGTGGGGCCAGGCACCTCCTAATTCTCCTCCTCCTGCTCCTCCTCCTCCTCCTTCTCCTCGTCTTCCTCCTCCTCCTCCTCCTCCTCCTCCTCTTCTTCCTTCTTTTTACGTTAGACTACCATTAGGTGTGATGCCTGGTGCGTTCTTGAACGTGCGCAGTGCAGAGAAGCAGGCCTGACGAGCAGCAGTCAGAAAAAAGAATGGCAAATCAGTGACAATGAGAGGAATGAGTAGAGTATCCACAGTATGCTGCATGGCTGGGTAACGCAAGGATCCCCCGTCCACCTTCATACTCTCGAACCCTTCCATGGCAAGGGTCCTCATCTACGGCAGTTCGTACTCACCCTAAGGGCAGCTAGTAAGTAATCAAGATGCTGGCACTCATCTTACTGAATATGATTCTGGCCTGATGCCACTAAAGTGCAATAGAAATGCAGAGATCTAAATGCGCTAGCTGACCTTCTCCTCCTCCTCCCCCTCCTCCTCTTCCTCCTCCGTCTCTTCCTCCTCCTCCTCCTCCTCCTCTTCCTCTTCCCTCGTGCGCGCCGGCTAGATGCAGGCCGTCCCGCACTCAGTGGGCCCTGGAGACGACAGAGCCGTTCGTTGGCCGCTTCCGTTTCCGGCTCCCGCGCCGTTTTGTTCCCGGTTCCGTCGCCGTTGTTTGTTGCCAGTTCCAGTTTTGGCTCCAATCCCGGAGCCATGTGTCTGTTTCCAGGAGCAGCGTTTGATTCCTAGCCATATTGTGGTGTTGGGTCTTCGTTTTGAAGAGACAGCGCCCAGCGTTTCCTTCCTCCCTATGCCCCCCCTCCCTCTCCCCATCACCAGCATCATCGTCATTATCATCACCGTCGCCCATCATCCATCAGCATCATCATCTGCAGCAGAATCCACATCCTCATCATCATCATCGTCATCATCATCGTCATCTTCATCATCGACCCCACCACTCATATCGACACACCCCTCACAAGCTTCGTGGCACCATAGGGAGCTCGAACCAAGGTCCCAGTGGCGGCATTGCGGCGCCGCCCCATTCTGGCACGCCCCTCACACGCTTCGTGGCCCTATAGGGAGCTCCTCCGACGGTCCCAGCGGCGCAGCTCGCATGGCGGCGCCGCCCAATCCTGGCACACCCTTCACATGTTTCGTGGCCCCATAGGGAGCTCCTCCTGAGGTATCAGTGGCGCAGGCCGCATGGCGGCACCGCCCCATTTTGCCACACCCCTCTCACGGTTAAGGTCCCAGTGGCGCAAGTCGCATGGCGGCGCCGCCCAATTTCGGCACACCCCTCTCACGCATCGTGGCCCTATAGGGAGCCCCCCATTGCAGTCCCAGTGGCGCAGCTCGCATGGCGGCGCCGCCCCATTCTGGCACACCCCGCACACGTTTCGTGGCCCCATAGGGAGCCCCAAGTAAGGTCCCAGTGGCGCAGTTCGCATGGCGGCGCCGCCCCATTTTGGCACACCCCTCACACGTTTCGTGGCCCCGTAGGGAGCTCCAATGAAGGTCCCAGTGGCGCAGTTTGCATGGAGGCGCCGCCCCATCTTGGCACACCGCTCACACGTTTCGCGGCCCCACAGGGAGCTCCTCCGAAGGTCCCAGTTCCGCAGCTTGCATGGCGGCGCCGCCCCATTTTGGCACACCCCGCACACGTTTCGTGGCCCCGTAGGGAGCTCCTCCGAAGGTCCCAGTGGCGCAGCTCGCATGGCGGCACCGCCCCATTTTGCCACCTTTTTCACGGTTCGTGGCCTCATAGGGAGCTCCTCCTAAGGTCCCAGTGGCGCAGTACGCATTGCCCCGCCGCCTTATTTCTTTCGGTCCCATCGACTCTCTCTCGCCCTGGGCCGTCGGCTGTCCGGCGCGCTGCTCCCTCGGCCGACATCGCCCATGCGCGATCCTGGATTGCGGCCGCCACGAGGTCGGGAACGGCAAGAAGCAGGACAACGACTGGCGGTTGGAGCTCTACGCGCCGCTCTCGCGCGCCACGCGCCGCGAGGACCTCCTGCCCACGCGGGCGCCGCGCATCGAGTTATTCCTGGCAGGGCCGCCGGAGGGCATGTGGAAGCAGCTGGAGCAGTTTGCCGCGCGCACGAAGCAGCGCACAAGAGACTCGACGGCCCTCGCCAAGGAGCTGGGCTTCATTGAGTTCATCCGCGAGGCTTGACCTGAGGAGCGACCCGCCCGAGCCTCGCCGTCTCTCGACGGTCCGACTGTCTGGCTTCGCGCCGGGGGCGACCCGCGCGCGTCGCTGGGGCCCTCTCGGGGCTACCAGCGCGCGTCGCGGGAACTCCACGCTGCGCTCCGCCTGGCGCCGCGCCCGCCCCCGTCGTCGCTTTGCCCTGCGGCCAGAGACTTGCCCGCTATCGGCCGGCCTGCTAGCTCTCTCTGATCCGCGCAGCGGACGACCCGCTTGCGTCGCCGGGACACTTTCGAGGCGACCAGCGCGCGTCGCGGCGACTCCGCGCGGCGCCGCGCCCGCGGCCTCGGATATGGGCGCGCGCGCGGGCTAGCAGGGATAAAAAGAACGGGGAGGAAGCGGGCGCGATCCTCGCGAGGGGCGCGCCGACATGGGCGTCGACACTTACGCGCGTAGACTCACGCGCGCGCAGAATCATACACAATCAGATTCACTCGCGCTCGCACTCACCCGCTGTCTGTCTCTCGCACACTGACCTATCGTCTTCGTTCGCGCCCCGCGCGCCCCGCCACGCACGTCGGCGCGCCCCTCGCGCGGCCCGCGGCCCCATAGGGAGCGCGGGCGAAGATGATATTCATATTTGCGGTATTCACAACTGCACATGGTTGGGCCCTTCGCCTGGATATTTGTTGTCAGGTTCCATATATAGTTGTTCGAAACTGCCCCCAGCCCATCCCGCGGCGTTGGGTCTTCGTTATGAAGAGACAGCACCCCGCATTCCTTCCTTCCTCCCCCCCTCCTCCCCCTCCCCCCATCTCATCCCTTGCCTCTGCCCTCCGTGCGCCAACCATTTCGGCGCACCCCCCACGAGGATCGTGGCCCCATCGTGAGCTCCAACGAAGGCCCCAATGGCACAGACCGCATGCGCCCAACGCCCCATTCTGGCACAGCCCTCACACACTTCGCGGCCCCCAAAGGAATTCCAACTAAGGTCCCAGCGGCGCAGCTCGCACGGCGGCGCCGCTCCATTTTGGCACGCCCTTCACACGTTTCGTGGCCATCTAAGGAGCTCCTCATGAGGCCCCAATGGCGCAGGCCGCATGCGCCAGACGCCCATTTTGGCACACCCTTCTCACGGCTCGAGGCCCCATAAGGAGCCCCATTGTGGCACCCCTCACACGGTTCGTGGCCCCATAGAGAGCTCAACCGAAGGCCCCAGTGGCACAGGCCGCACGCGCCTGACTCCCATTTCCGCACACCCCTCACACAGTTCTTGGCCCCATCGGGAATTCCACCGAACGGCACAGGCCGCTTGCGCCCGACGCTAAAATTTTGGCACACCCATCACACGGTTCGTGGCCCCATAGGGAGCTCCACCGACAACGGCACCCACAATGCGGTAGTCCCAATTGCGCACGGTTGGGTCCTTCGCCAGGATGACCATGCGCAGGTGTGAGTACCGCGTTGTGGGAACCGCTTTCGGTGGAGCTCCCCATGGGGCTACGAAGCGTGTGAGGGGTGTGCCAAAATGGGCGTCGGGCGCACGCAGCACCGGGGCCTTCGGTGGAGCGCCTTATTGGGCCACGAACCGTGTAAGAGGTGCCAAAATGGGCGTTGGGCGCATGCGGCCCGTGCCACTGGGGCCTTCGGTGGAGCCCCCATATTATAAGTATAGGGCCGCGTACCGTGCGAGGGGTTCGCCAAAATGAGGTCGTCGGGCGCATGCAGCCTGTGCCATTGGGGCTTTCGGTGGAGGTCCCTATAAGACAACGAACGGTGTGAGGGGTGTGCCAAAATGAGCGCCCCATGGGGCCACGAACCGTGTGAGGGGTGTGCCAAAACTTGAGCGTCGGACGCGCGCGGCCTGTGCCACTGGGGCCTTCGGTGGAGCTCCCTATGGGGCCACGATCCTCGTGAGGAGTGTGCCGACATGGGGGCGTCGGGCGCATGCGGCCTGTGCCACTGGGGCCTTCGGGGGAGCTCCCCATAGGGCCAGTAACCGTGTGAGGGGTGTGCCAACATGGGGGCGTCGGGCGCATGCGGCCTGTGCCACTGGGGCCTTCGGTGGAGCTCCCTATGGGGTCACGACCTCGCGAGGGGCGCGCCGAAATGATGGGCGCGCGGAGGGCAGACGCAAGGAATGGGAGGAGGAGAAGGAGGAGAGGAGGAGGAAGGAAGGAACGCGGGGCGCTGTCTCTTCAAAACAAGGACCCAACACCACAGGATGGCTGGGTACGAATTAGCCTGGCGAAGGACCCAACCATGTGCGGTTGAAAGTACCGCAGTTGTGAATCTCGTCTTCGGTGGAGCTCCCTATGAGGCCAAGAACCGAAATGGGTGGAGGGGTACACGACACGAAAGAAGACGATAGGTGCGGTGGGCGCATGCGAACGCAGCCACTGGGGCATTCGGTGGAGCTCCTTGCGGGACCACGAAACGCGTGCGGGGTGTGCCGAAACGGGCGCGGTGGGCGCATGCGAACTCAGCCACTGAGGCCTGTCGGTGGAGCACCCTGTGGGGCCACGACACGTGTTGAGGGGTGTGCCGACATGGGTGCGGTGGGCGCATGCGAACGCAGCCTATCGGGCCTTTGGTGGAGCTCCCCATGGGGCCACGTAACGTGTGACGGGTGTGCCGAACTGGATGCGGTGGGCGCATGCGAACGCAGCCATTGGGGCCTCCGGTGGGACTCCTTATGAGGCCACGAAACGTGTGCGGGGTGTGCCAGGATGGGTGTGGTGGGCGCATGCGAACGCAGCCACTTGGGCCTTTGGTGGAGCTCCCCATGGGGCCACGTAACGTGTGACGGGTGTGCCGAACTGGATGCGGTGGGCGCATGCGAACGCAGCCAT